AAAAAAAAAATAGCCCTGTAAAAGAGGAATAATATAACAGCACAGAAAATAAGGGGACAATTATAAAATCATCTGACATTTTCTGGTAACTTTATCTTAATTAGCAGCTTGTTAAAATTACTTTTTCTGGGGCATAACCATGCTCCAAAGTCTGCCATTTGTTTTTTATCACCAATTCACCAAAATGTAACCCCCCCCCCCCCCCCCCCCCCCATTGCTCTTGCTGAAATTGATATTTATCCCCCACATTTGTACTGCATTTCAGAATCCTGACAGCTTCTTTTGGGATGAGCATCACACAACCCATACATGCACTCCAACCCTCTATATTTTAAATTGAATTTAAACTGAATTTAAACTTTAAAGTGGTGCTGCTGCTTTGCATGCGGAGGGGATTTGGAAGATATTTGACTTGCTGGAGTTGTCATTATTGTAGTTTCACATCTGTTTCACCTTAAGATCCAGAAGTTAAATTCTTAATGGTATGGAAGTAGTGCAACTGTTTCACTCATCCATATAAATGAATATGCATGAACACTAGGGTATCATGTAGTATGCCACCTCCCATTTCAAATGTTTAGTTGGTGAGGTGGATAAGTATTACTGAACTTTATAGGCTTTACCCACAAGAAACTTCCAAGCCAGTTCCAGGATATAAAAAGAGAATATTGGAAGCATTGTACTGGGAAAGGTAGTAAACTTAATTAAGGAATAGTTTGGCAACTACAAAGTATGTTTCCAGTAAAAGGGGAAAAATCAGCATTGTATAGTTGATATAGAATATATGAACCAAATGTTAATATTGCAGGTGCAAAACTGATTCTTCCTTGTTTAAAACAAGATCAACTGCGTTCCAAGACTAAAGAATTGTAGAGAATGTGAAACTGAAAAGCCATCACTGATATACATGGATGTGTAGCTGGACCAATAAGGATACTGACATTTTAGCATATTTTGAAGTGTATTTCAGTCCTATTATGTTCACTATTTCCATATAATTCATTCTAGCAATGTAGGTAATTCAAGTCTGAGTTTAAAAACTCAGGGTCTGAATTTCAAAGGCATGCATATTGATCAGCTAGTTCCTTTTCCATCTCTCCGTAAAATGCTTTAACAGTGGGCCTGGGGAAAGTATATATTAACAATGCAGAATGTCTGTTGTTAACATCTATTTCCTGATTCCCCACAACCCAAGTTGGAAGCACACAGAGCCTCTGAGGGGAAATTCCCAAGCACTAGGTTTGAATGTGACCGATTTCACACAAGAGCTGTGCTGCGGTCGTGCCTCCCTTTGCCCCGCTTCTACTGGTCAATTTCCCACTCGAAGCCGTGCAGCCCCATTTTGCCCCACGGCCTCGCCCAATTTCCCCCCCCCCCGTTTTCGTGATCCTCAAAAAACCGGATCACGAAACCGTGGGGAAAATCGGGTGAAGCTGTGGGTCAAAATGTGGCCACGCGGCTTCGAGTGGGAAATTGACCAATAGAAGCGGGGCAAAGGGAAGCGTGACTGCGGCGCGGCTCTTGTGTGAAATCAGTCAGTGTCAATTTGAAATTAATTTCACTGATTCTTTCTGCCTGTTGGGTAACTGATCCAGTAGCTTCTTGAACATGGAGTTCTCATGCATGCTGCCGCTGCTTCTACAAAGACGCCCTGCCAATTAAATGAATAGCATCACACTATGAGAGCAGCACTGGAGTTCCAAGAAATCCCTGGATTAGGGCTAAATAGTAACATATTAAATTTAGGAACAGTAAAATTGTGAATTCTTCTGTTTTTCTTGCTTACAACTTTTGCTCTGCAGTTGTCTGGCAGATGCAGCAGCAATTGCAGGGTGCTTAAAGCCATGAGGGAGTTACCACTCCAGCAGTAACACCTTAGTGATCCTGCCAGCCCTGCCTCCACAGTAGCTTCTAAAATTCCTCCCCCTCCCCCTCCTACACTGGACAGGCAGCTGCCTGTCAGCTGTAGGGGAGGAGGTGGGATGCTTACAGCCACCGGGGAGGGTTGCTCAGTAGGATTGCCTTAGCCCTGCTGCTGGCCCAGCCTCCCTGATGCCTTTAAACATGATCCCCCCAACACCAGACAGGCGGGTGTCTTTCAGGTGTAGGAGCAGGACCAGGGTACTTGAATCCAACAGGGATGCTACCCCAGCAGGATCTCCTTAGCGGTGATGCTGACCCAGCCTCTCTGATGGCTTCCAACACACTCCCCCCATCTCCTACACCTAACGGGTGGTTGTCTGTCAGATGCAGCAGCGGTTGCAGGGTGCTTAAAGCCATGAGGGAGTTACCACTCCAGCAGTAACACCTTAGTGATCCTGCCAGCCCTGCCTCCACAGTAGCTTCTAAAATTCCTCCCCCTCCCCCTCCTACACTGGACAGGCAGCTGCCTGTCAGGTGTAGGAGAGGAGGTGGGATGCTTACAGCCGCTGGGGAGGTTTGCTCAGAAAGATTACCTTGGCCCTGCTGCTGGCCCAGTCTCCCTGATGCCTTTAAACATGATCCCCCCAACACCAGACAGGCGGGTGTCTTTCAGGTGTAGGAGCAGGACCAGGGTACTTTAATCCATCAAGGACGCTGCCCCACCAGGATTACCTTAGTGGTGATGCTGGCCCAGCCTCTCTGATGGCTTCCAACACACTCCCCCCATCTCCTACACCTAACGGGTGGTTGTCTGTCAGATGCAGCAGCGGTTGCAGGGTGCTTAAAGCTATGAAGGAGCCCACCCCAGCAGTCTACAGAGAGGTCCTTCAGTAGAGAAAAAAAAAGTACATATGTCTCACTTCATTTTTTACACTACAATCTTCTCCTCTAGAATTCCTACAACAAATGTTACATTTCAAACTTTACATCATCAGTATTATAACTGGATTTACGGAAGTTAAATAACATAGCAAAGCACGGTATCAGGCTAGTATTCTATAATTCAATCATGTCAAAGAAGATCAAGGTCCACAGTTTTACAAGCAATCAGAATAAATTATTGTATGTAGAATAGCCAGGAGATCCTAAGATTGTCTAGCAGCCAGAAGTTCTTGCTCTTTAGTGTTATGCAGCACTAGGTGGCAAGCTAGACTTGTTTTTAAGGCAAGGGATGTTTCGGAGGTGGTTTGCCATTGCCATCTGCTGACAACGCTGATTCTTTTAATTTTGCAAGCTAACCAGCTGCACCACTAAAACACTCTCATTCTTAGCTTTGTTATTAAGGCAAGCTCACTATGGCTGCTGTATGATTTTAATGTTAGTTTTATTCTGGCCCCGGTCACATGGGTCGGATATCGCGGGGGGGAAACGTGGCTAATTGCCCCGGAGGAAACTAATGTGCGGCCGCCTGAGCACACGTCCCAGTTGAGGTCCCATGGTTAGAGGGGAGATGCTGACCAGACGGGTATCCTGCAGCACGGCAAAGAAGCCACGCCGCACGATCGCACTAGCTATCGCTCTTTGTGCGCATGCGCTGTTGGGCGCTGTAGCGCAACCTGTGGAGACGGGCGCCGGATGCCACGTAAGTCCACCGGAAATGCGATCAGACGCCCGCCTTTGGCCCGCGGTTTCCGGAAACTAGTACCTCGGAGGTACTAGTTTTTTACTCTGCATCTTCGGCAGGAAGCCTCAGGTTAGCCACGGGAGCTCTACGCTTCCCAGATGTGGCGGTGTGATCGCGCCCGGAAAATCCACCTACCATCCGTATCGTCAGCACGGCAAATTCTCCGTGTGACCGCAGCCTCTTTGTTTCTATTTATTGTTAAATTTTTATTTATTATTATTTTAGTCACGATCTCTATGTGACTCTGTAACCTGCCCTGAGCCCACTTGCAGGGAGGGAGGGATAGAAACTGAATATAGTAGTAGTCATGCCTGCCTCTGCGACACAACCCTGATATTCTTGTAGGTCACCCTTAGCTTCTGAGATCTGATGGGACTGGGCTAGCTATGAATGGTCCCGGTTTCATCGGTATCTCAATTTATATTCTACAATACAATCATGTCAAAGAGGATAAAAGACCACCGTTTTACAAGCAATCAGAGTATTTTTGTCACAAACCAAAAAATAACATCATCACGTTCTTCACTAAACCACCTGAATTCATTACATTGCAGAGCAATCAACAGTAAAACTACCTGCTATTCAGCCATCAGATTTCTGAAATGCCTAGGTATCCAATTACACATTGGCACAAAAGAAAGAAAAAATCATTTTACAGCGACATTTCCCTTTGTTTAAACCTTGAACTGTGTTAGCATTGCTATGGGTTCTAATCTACTTGGATAAATTCATATTGTTGTACATCTGTATTTTGATGACTTTTTTTTTTAATGACCCTGGAAGATAACCCAAGAAGGGCAGCTCACAAGTAAGGATTCTATTGGCTGTATCCATTTCTCTGATTCCAAGAAAGTATTTTGACACTTGTTCACAGGAGAGAGAAAAATGCTTCCAAGAAACAAATGCAAGATGACCTGTTGTGTCCTTAATTAATTGCAGATCCATTTGGGAAGACAGATGAGAGGGAGCCACTTACAAATGCTGTCAGGAGTGATTCAGCTGTCATTGGAGGTAATCTCTCACATGAACATGCATGCATGCACACACACACACACAACTGAGCAGAAAACTTTTTCTCTAATGTCATATTGGTGGTGATTTCTAGATTTTGTGTACTTGTGCCATTTTTGTGTGCCTGTTTGTTGCTACTATATGATCTCTTCAATATTTAAGTATCCATCAATGGATTTTCTGATTTTGAAACTATATTTAAGCTAACTCTTTCAGTAATTTCCATCAGTCCTCAGTTCCCATCACATATTCATCTACAAGTAATTCTGTGCATTCACACTTGCAGGTATTGGGCTACTTAGCAGAGTAAAAGGCTAGTGCTGTATGGGAAGAAAAAGAGAAATGGATGGTGGCTTGGGACCATTATAGAAAGTCCATCAGAACCATTTTGTAGTATGTCAGTGAAAAATACAAACTCATTGTTCCAATTTTTTAGGAAAGAATTGAAAACAGCATCAGTGTGGTTATATAAATCCATTACCTACTGTTAGAATGCTGTTTCAGTCTGCTGTCACACAAGGACAGATCTAGCTACTTGAGAAAAGTATCATGAGTTCCTTTAGGATTCATTGATTTTGTCTCAACCCACCCCTATCTCAAAGCACTATTACGAAGAAAGACATCAAACCTTATGACCCATTGGTCTTCCTAATTAAGAGACATGAATTAGAATACCTATGAAGGGAGTGATGAAATCAGCACCGTATCTATTCAATTTGACCCTCCCAGCCCAATGGATTAAGCACCCATTTGTGACTAGATGAACTAGAAGCAGCTATTTATAGTGAGACTGAACTTGAATGACTTAAATCCCCAGAGTCTTTATAGCTGAGAGCCAAAACTGCTTGGCAGTTTCAGTTGCTACCTGTGTGAGCCCAAATACATTAAAAATAGTGCTCAATCATCCTAACAGAAATATGATTACTAAAGGCTTCTATTTAGGTCTCTTCTTTCTAGCAGAGGTAGTTGTCTAGTGACATAGCAGTAATATCCTGCACACTCACTGCGGCCAGGTGTCAGCAGCATCTACTGAAACTGTGCCAATGCTGGGCATGCTGCACCCAAAAACTTGGCTAGCTCTCTAATGGGATTGGGCAAAAAGACCAGGCATAGCCAGTTTTGACTATTGTAAGCTTTTTGTGGTATAGACTGAACAGGCTCCAACATAGTGGCCTTCATGGACTTTACAGCATGTTTGGATCTGCTCCTGAGCAGGCAAACTACAGACCCTCCATCCTTCCCTTTGTAATCTTATTGCTTTTCTCCTCTTCCCCAGGTGTTATAGCAGTTGTGATCTTCATCATCTTTTGCATTGTGGCCATAATGAGCAGATTTCTTTACCAGCACAAGCAGACACACCGGAGCAGCCAAACAAAAGACAAGGAATACCCGGAACACCTTGACAGTTCTTTTAAGACTGATGTTGACTTGCAGAACACAGTGACCGAGTGCAAACGAGAATATTTTATCTAATGGACTCTGGAGCTCCTTGTTACACTTTAGCATTTCTTTGATTATTATGATGGTGATTGTTTTTTGCCCATCCATTTCTGGGGAATTTCCCTGCCCCTTTGGAAAGAACCCCCTTTGCGCAGAAGAGATTGGCAGAAATACAGCGCCTCATTCTTTTCGCCAAAACCCACCACAGTTAATGCCTAACCACTCAAGCAACTGTGTGTCCTACCTGAGTTCTACATGACATGCATGGTTGACTGTTCCTTTCTAGCTTTTGTCAAGCATTGCTTTCTGGATCCATCCACTTCACCATTTCATGACGGACCTGAGCGATATATACTAGAGGTAAAGTGTGCAAGCTAACTACGTAGTGTCACATCGATTACAACAAGGTAGTGAGAAAGAATAAGACCAAATTATCTCATTTTGTTTATTGTGTCTTTAAAAGGAGCTAACTTCTCCTGATTTTGCTAATTGGCATAATACTTCTGTTTCGTGTTGATGGTGCTGTGTTGATTTTGAGAGCTGAGGATCTGGAAAGACATTTTCCCCCACCCTTGCTCCTTTTGTTGTAACTTTTAGACTTCATGATTCAGTCCCCCTCTTTTTTTAAAAAAAATGTGCTAACCCTGATCAACACACAGTAATTCAACAATATATTTCCATTACAACACACATCTTGTAACCATTATCTTACAGTGAAGCTGTATATAATCTATAATGCAGCAAGGAAACCAACACATTAAGTTTACTGGATTTTACATGTTAGGGTACTCTCTAGTCCCAACTTGAAGGGAAAAAATGGCAGTGATGCTTATGATTGACAGCTTCACATATTTGGGAGCAAGACATCCAAAATTAGCATGGTCGGGGATCAAATGGAGTGTAAAAGATACAAGTCACATTCCAGTGTGGCACATAACAGAACCCCAAATATCTCAAAAATTTTATGGAAGAAGACATGGTGTTCCTGACCATGTCATTATGAAAATGCACCGCCCACCGCCCCCCCATAGCATTTTACTTACAAAATGAAACCTTGGGAGCCATACTAAGTCGTTTCCATTCATCTCTAAGAATGCCAGGCAGGGCTCACGACTAATTTAAGCTGACCACAGAATTAAGTTTGATTTGTTTTTGTTTGCCTAGCCTTTCAAACAAAGAAAAAAAGGTACTTTCCCCTTTCTACAAACCAGCCGATTTTTATTTGAATACTCAAAGCGTAGGTAGTAAGTAGTTCTGCATAGCATGGGTACCTGTCACAAGGAATACGTGTTGCTGGAGCTCAGCCTTTTAAACTAATCGTAGCACCACTAGATTAACAGTGCAGTCTTTTTGCAGTGTTGAAATCAATGGGTTTAGACTGGAGTGACTCTGCATAGACTGCATGGTAAGTACCTTGACTTGACCTAATGCAGGAATGAGTGCTGCACGATTTCCCTCCAATTATGGCTTATCTGTGTAGAATTTCACTCTGGCACCTGATGAGTGCTTCTTTCTGCCCTAGAAAAATCTGTAAGGTGTTGAGCTGTTCTGGTAGGAATTCCCCTCCCTATTCAGCCCCTGGCCTAAAATTGAATGGAATCGCTTTCTGTTGCAGTGGGTAATGTTAATCGGGAGCAAAGCTAAAAGCTACTGAAGAGGCTATGACTATATGATGGTGTTCTGTGCCACCTATATGACTAGGTACAGACATGGCAAACCACCTGAATATTGACTGAGTTTAAACTGGGCAAGGACAGGGATTGGCAAGGCACAACATTGTTTTCTTGGGCAGCCTGGCTCTGGAGAGAGCCTTTCCCAAACTATATATACTCTTCATGTCTCTATCCAGTCAGTGGCAGGACTTACTCCTAAAGATTGCCAGAGATGGATTGCTGTGAGCATTCTGCTGTCCTTCTCTAGTAATTGTGTAGTTTGTGCCTCTCTTCCCTCTGCTTCCATCTTTGAGTTAAGCATCAGAGAGTGTTCTCAGAAGGAAAGCATCCACCGATTTGTGACTCTTAAGTCAGGGGACAAATGAAACTTTCACTGGTCCATTGCAGCTGACAATGCCATTTTCTTGTGATCTTGGGGTGTATCAACAGAGGCATAACATCCAAATCTCAAGATGTCATAGTCCCACTGTATATTGCCTTGGTCAGGTCGCACCTGGAGTATTGTGTGCAGTTCTGGAGGCCTCACTTCAGGAAGGATGTGGACAGAATGGAGCGTGTGCAGGGGAGAGCGACAAGGATGATCAGGGGCCTGGAGACCAAGCTCTGTGAGAAAAGCCTGGGGGAACTTGAGAATGTTCAGTCTGGAGAAGAGGAGGTTGAGCAGGGACATGATTGCTCTCTTTAAGTATTTGAAGAGCTGTCACTTAGAGGAAGGCAGGAGCTGTTCCTATTGGCAGCAGAGGATAGGACTCACAATAATGGGTTTAAATTTAGGGCGGGAAGGTACCAGCTGGATATTAGGAAAACCTTATTTGCAGTAAGAGTTCTGCAACAGTGGAATGGGCTGCCTAGGGAGGTGGTGAGCTCCCCCTCCCTGGCAGTCTTTAAGCAGCATTTGGACAAACACTTGTCAGGGATGCTCTGGGCTGATCCTGCATTGAGCAGGGGGCTGGACTAGATGGCCTGTATGGCCCCTTCCAACTCTGTGATTCTATGATTCTAAGGTGAAGGGATGAAACCAAACTCACAGATATGTCTTTCAAGAAGGCCCAAGACAATCTGGCCTTCATTGTGCAGTCTTTACTAGCCCTTGGCAATCAGAAGCCATTATCCTTTGTTTTAGCCTGGTATTACATTATTAGAAAGTTCCTTAAGACGAGCAGAGTGGTTCTGATGGTACTCAGTAACTCTACTTCTGTATCTATAAATGGTCACCTGCCCAAGATGGTTTTGAACCAACCAAAGTTTTTCTGCATTAAATTCTGAATGATGGAAGAAAGAGGGAGAGACACAAATAAACCCAGACATTAATTTGTCATTTTTTCCCCTAAGGACACCATATTTATCCTCATTATTTTGACTGTACTTTGGCTGAGTCATATAAAAATTCAGTTACAGGGAGCCATTCATTTGTAACATGTTTAATTGCATTCTGAAAAGGTGGAGGGAGAAGAGATGGAATTCACATTTTTATTCCAGTAAGTTTTACACACTATAAATTATTGTCCTGTATTTTTCCTTACTCAACACAGCTATTATAAATCACTCCTTTGCTCTGCAAATTCCCCCCCCCCGTCCTTCCATGATATAAAAGGCTAAAGTGTAGCAAATCTAGCCCCAAGCAGATACACTAAAGGGATAAAAAGGGAGGGTCTGGGCGCTAAAGCTGAACAGAATCCCTTGATTATTCAAGTCACTGAGAACCCTGAACTGCTTTCTGGGGGGAGTGGACATTCTATTAAGCTATATCAATTAGGAGCATAGGTTTCTTATAAATAATAAAAGAAAACCACATATATTCTCATTCTCAGATCTGTTTTTGCAGATACCAGGTAGAGAACACAACGGGGTCTATATTAAGAGTATGGAACCAAGAGGGTGGATCAGGCCATAACTTCTTTAACCACCATCCACCGTAAAAGGCTATGCTTCACAAGACTTGAAATGTGAAACGAAGTCTGTAGTAAGGAAGGGTGTTGGACAAGATTGAGGGGAAAACCTGGTTGGATCCCCCCCCCCCCCCACCCAGGTTTCTGGTCCATAGTTGTTCTCAGTGTTTGTTCTGCACTTCTGCTTTTCTTAAACAGAGTTTCAAATACTGTTGGGCAAAAAAGAGTATGAACTGAGGATCGACTCACAGAAGAGTTTTTTCTTTTCACAGAAAGGCAGTATGATAGGCAAGTATCCCACCCTATCACTTGCATATTTATTTCACTACTGTATCTGATTTCTGAATCTCATGCAGCCTCTGATCAGAAAGGGTAGTGGGATCAAGGAAATGTGTGTATACACTATACACCATGGGAAACAATGCCTCTATCATGAGACCAGTTCTGTTTAAAAAAAAGAAAAGAAATAACATCCAGTTCCAGCTACTATTTGCTACAGATTCAGTACTACTTTCTGTTGCCCTGCAGTTCCCAACCTGAGATGCTGTCTTGGCAATGTTTTTTCCCCTCCTCTATCGTCCCTACAATTCAGTCCTAATTACACAACCAAATTCTGAGGCACTGACCCAGCTCTCATTACATGCTGCTAGCCATGGCTAAGAACTGGTAGCCTTTGGTAGAGATATTCATCCCCTTGTACATCAAAATGTATGACTACCCATATCATTAGAATCTAGACAGAGACGCAAAACTATATCCCCATCAGGTATGGACTAGGGATGGGCACAGTCCAGGAAAAATAGTAGGCCGTTGAAGTTCAAAGGTCCATGGGGTTTAATGGACCAGGTCATGGTCTATTTGGTCCATGATGCCATGTGACTTACAAAGCTGCATGCCGCACGAGTGAAGGCCAAGCAGCTACTTCACCCAATTCCGGTGAACCAGAAGTGAGTGAAGTTGCCACTTGGCCTCCACTCGCATGCTGCGTGGCTTTGCAAAAACCATTTAAATGGAACACGTTCTCTTTAAATGGCTTTTGCAAGCCTCACTGAAACAGACCTTATGAACCTCCTAGGAGGGCTGTGGACTTGTAGGAGGTCCATGTCAGTGGGATGGCATGGACCGGGCTCACAGACCACAAACTGGGCCCCGGTCTGTGGAAGAATTAGGTCCTTGATGTGGTCCATGCCCATCCCTAGACATAGTAAGCTATTTCTAATATAAGAATTTTATTTGTTGAAATAGGGCACAAGCATGTATTTGTTTGTTTATATGTTTACTTCGATTATACCCTGCCTTTCTCTCCAGTGGGGATCCAAAGTGGCTTACATCATTCTCCTCACCCCATTTTATCCTTGTAACAACTCTCTGAAGTGAATTAAGCTGAAAGTGTGTGACGGGCCCAAGGTCATCCAGCAAGCTTCTATGGCAGAGCAGGGATTCAAGCCTCGGTCTCCTGGATACCTGGGTC